AGTATAGGAAAGAAGAAAAAAATATAATACAAATAATTCTTACTAGAGTCAATTAAAAAACGTAACTGAGCAGTGAATAGAATCTATTTTTTTGTTCATTGTATTCTGTAAAATGATCTTATTTTCTTTTGATAATATATAATCATAATGTATCCCTTAGGTCATATTTCCATATAGAAGTCAAAATTTCCGCTTATTAAAATGATTTAACTATAGAAAAAAGAATCCATGTATAGCGTGATCATTTATCAAAAATAATCAATACAATTTATTCTATTATTGAAAAATTTTTTGACATTTACCAGTATTCATATTTGTAATTATGAAATATAAAACTGATGATGATGTTCATTGAACCGTTTCATGTCTCATAAACACGGTAGATAAAATGACGTGCTTTTTTTCTATTAAAATCTAAAAATGATTTATATTTTAGGTATTATATTCGATGCGTTTTTCTGTTTGCATATGAGATGAAATCATTCGTAAATTATAAATATAGAAAAACATCGTATCAACTACCATGTATTTTAATTAATGTAAGAGAAATGAAAAGTTTCTTTTTCGTAAGTTAGAAGTAGTAATATTGTTTGACTGTTAGCAAATATTAAGATCTAGATTAGATGGGTAACATATTTTGTCCATTTCACAACAGATATAATATTAATGATTGTTCAGAATATTCATAATTTGAGCTTTAGATAAAAAGGTTAGAGATTCATTTATTGCATTAAAACTAAGGTAACTATATTTTATGAAGCAAATGTATTATTATTATAATAAATATTTGTTTTTATCCCATGAGATAAGATTTCTATTTATTATCAAAATATGAATGGATAGTATCGCGTGTTGTGTATTGTTTAAATATTTGCACATTCTGAATTAAAAAAACATAAAACATTTTTTTCTGTTTTAACAATGTCTCAATTGATAAAAAGGTATAAATTTGTAATGAACCTCATCAGATATTTGTTTGAAGATAATTATCATTTTCATACCATATGTTTCATCTATAGAACAATTTATGGTAGTGAAGAAAGAGCAAAGGCCTTGAGAATAAAAAAATATATATTGGTAATAGAAAAATAACAACTAAAATCAATGTTGATAGTAGAATAAGTGAGTCACTAGTTATATTAATAAAAAAAAGTTATTAACCATAAGTTATTCTCGATGGAATAAAAAGTGTTCATCATACAATGAAAAACTTGTTAGATACGTCTTTACTAAGTTAAGAATAAAATTTATTCACTTGACCGAATGCCTATCTCCTCACAGATTGAATCGATGAATATCACTTAAAACTTATTCATATTTTTATCTGCTAGTCCTATATCTATTAAATTCTAACCTTTTTTTTATTTATAGATGGAAACTCCTAGTGATCCAAAAAAATGCTCAATGTGTCATAAAAATCCAATAAAATATACATGTCCACGATGTTCAATACGTACATGTTCATTACCATGTTGTCTTCTTCATAAAAGAACTTTAGATTGTAATGGACAACGAGATAAAACTTCATTTAAACAATTAAATACAATGAATGATCTTGATCTTTTATCAGATTATCGTTTTTTAGAAGAAGTTAATCGTCAGATTGAAACAAGTAAGCGCGATGAAATGACAAATAAAATGAAATCATTTAATGAACCAACACGTTTTCAAAAATTAATACAAACAAAATTAAAAATCCTTGGATCAATACAAATTCTCTATTTACCAAAATTTTCTACACGACATAAACAAAATCATATGTGGTATGATAGAAAATTAGATGAAGTTTTTTGGCATATTGAATGTCGATTCTTTACTGATTCATTTTATACATGGACAATAACACGTTTACCTACAAAAGAAACAACACTAGCAAATCTTTTAGTAAAATTTCATGAACATTGTAATGAAAAAAAAGATTCCATATCTTTAAACTCAAAGAATTTTTCTAATGAACAAGAAATTTGTGTTTATATTGAAAATTTTGGTCAAAAACGAAAACAATTTGGCAAATATGAAAAACGCCCATTTAATACAATGATTGATTTATTTCGTGAGAGAATAATTATTGAATATCCCATATTATACATCTCATTAATAAATGATGAAAATAATATGAAAGAAAATTTATTAGAAAAAAAAACAAAATGAAATAATTTCTTTGTTATCTTTGTTTTTCAGATATGCATATTTATGATGAACTTAAATCTTCTTTTATTATTATTTCGTTCCTTGGATATATTTTTTTGGTTAGCGGATTAATTATTAATTTTTTACAATTATTATCTTGTATAATATGGCCATTTAATAGAGAATTATATAGAAAAATTAATTGCTATTTAGCATTGGGCATTTGGAGCCGTAAGTATTCTTAACAATATGAAACGATTGGATGTGAAATCCAACCATAGAAATCCAAGTCTGGATGATTAATAATAGATTAGCTCAAAATGGAATACACTGAAACCTACCTTATGTACACATCATCGGGAACGGGAAAAAAGTGCTCATTAATAAAGAGCTAATATATAACATAGCCTGAAATGGAGAGTAGCTGGTTAATTCGAGTTCGAATATAAACGGACATTAAAAAAATTAATAGCTATTTCTAGGAATAGATTTAGTTTTAGAATAATTTCCAGATAAATCCCCCTTGGAATGTATTCCTAAATTTCACCATTTATATTCGAATTCGAATTAGGTAGCTCATCGACGGGACCGAAAAAAAGCGTTCACTGTTTAGAATAAAGAGGGGTCCATATTGGAGAGATGCATTTCCAGCAAAATCGCTCCGTCGGACTTGAGACCGTTCATAAAACGGAAGATTTCACTGTACTGTGATTCTATTAGATAGTTTCGATTTACTAAATATTGTACGAGAGACTAAAGATACACTAAAACAATTTTTTGAACGATCTCTGCAAGAGTAGAACAAGATTCCTCTAGTTATTCACAAAGACGTATATATAAATACTGCTTTAGATTAGAATTAATGAAGATGAATTTTTATTGCATAATCTCTATAACAATACTAGATATTTTATTAAAATTATCTAAGGGTATTCTTTATCTAATTAAATTCATGTAATCTTTTAAAAGCATCCTCTATTATCATAGAAATATTTATATCATGTAAATCCCTCAGGAATGGCATTAACAGTGTTCCGCTTCAGTATAGATATTAATTCATTGAATTACATTGCTCTAATCATATGAAAAATATAGAATATGAAATCGAAGGATCTTACTTGTATATATTTTTTTAATAGAATTCACATTCTTGGCACAATGGTGGTCGCAAAGTGATTGTGTATTGTATGTAGATCCAATTGTTTTGAAAAAAGTTCGTAGCGAACATGCCATTGTTATGTATGTCTAATGTTTTTGTTATTATATGTCAATAATAAGAAAAAAAACGATTAATTATTTAGAATGAATCATAAATATGACGTCGATTGGCTTGCTGGTTGGATAATTTGCCAACGCCTTGGTATAATACAAGGATCGAAAATAGTTGGTAAACAATCTCTTCGATTAGTGCCTATTGTGGGTTGGTGTTGGATATTTACTGAATCAATATTTTTACGACGTGTATGGGACAGTGATCGTGAAACTCTAGTCAAAGATTTACGAAAAGTGCTAGAAAATTATCCAAAAAACATGTTTTTTAATGTAAGATTTTTTTGTTTTACACATGAAAAGAATTTAATTTTATCTTTGTTTTTTAGTTTTTACTTTTCTGTGAAGGTACACGTTTTACTGAGAAAAAACGTGTAACAAGTATGAAAATTGCAAAAGAAAAAGGCTTACCAGAACTTAAACATCATATATTACCACGAACCAAAGGTTTTACTTTATTATTACAAGGTGCAGAAGATCGAAGTAAGTGAATTTATAATGAAGAAGAAATAACAATCTATGTACATTCTTGTTTAGTTACTGGTATATATGATTTAAATATTGGTTTTAAAAAAAATGGAGCTGAACCAACTCTTCGTAGCATAATGAAAGGTCGTTCTTGTCAAGCTGAAATATATGTTCGACGTACTTCAATTTCTGAAATTCCAAAAGATACTGAAGGATGTGGTAATTGGGTACATAAATTATATCAAGAAAAAGATCAGATATATGATTATTTTGTTCGTAATGATACATTTGAAGGTAATGGTTTACAACGTATTGAAGTTCCACGTAATTATACAGATTTATTAATTGAACTTTTCTGGATATTAACTATTGGTGTTCCATCAATCATATATTTATTCAAATTTCTTTTGACAAGTTCATTTATTGCTCAAATAATATTCGTTATTATAGTTATTCTTGGTAAAATAATTCGAAGGAATGAATTTTTTTAAATTGTATCTGTTTCTCTTCTAGCAACTATTGGTGTTCGAGCTATGATTGCTGTAACAGAAACTGAACGTGGATCACATTATGGTGAAACAAAAAAGAATGAATAATTTGCAGTTGATTTTATTGAGAATGTATTTGAATGTTTTAATATTTTACTAATTGAATTCTTCACGAGAGAATGCATTTTTGTACGTGTGTGTGTGTGTTTGTATGTGTTTTTGATGTTTTTTTTTCTAAATAATAGAAATGATTTTTAACTTTTTCTTTTGTCCGTCCGTTTGGTTTCCTTTTTCTTTTTTTTTCTGTCTTTCGCAAGGAGAATACAGCAAAATTTTATTTGACATAAAATATCATATATGACCAGATATACGCAAATATATATATATTGTTTCTTTATTTACCATTTTTCATATTAGTTTAATATTTTGACTTCAAGTAATGAAGTTCGATCGAAACTCAATCAGTAAAATTCAATCATTATTACCTGTTCAAATATTTATTGGTTATTGTTTTATTGTTACTGGTTTAATTGTTAATTTTATTCAATTGCTTACATGGATTTGTATTTGGCCATTTAGTAAACAACTCTATCGACGAATAAATTATTACTTAGGTGCATCGTTATGGAGTCGTATGTATTATAATATGTAATTTTGAAAATATTCTATTCAATTAATATTTTTTTTGTTATAGAATTAACTTCTTTATATACATGGTGGTCAGGTTCTAGTGTAACACTTTTTGCTGATCCAAAAGATATTAAAGAGCTTCAACATGAATCTTCAATTATTCTTGTTAATCATCGATATGAAATTGATTGGCTTGTTGGAATGGTCGCTGCTCAAAAAACTGGTATACTTGGAGTGAGTTTTAGAGAAATTGTTTTTTTTCTATCCGTATAATAATTATTTTATTTTCAAAAAAAGGGCATAAAAATTATTGGCAAACGTTCATTAAGTTTAATACCAATTCTTGGTTGGTCATGGCATTTTACTGAATCAATTTTTTTACGTCGAGTTTGGGAAAATGATAAAAAAGTTTTAGAACATGATATTCAACAACTTCTTAATGGTTATCCAGATCATTATTATTTTACAGTAAATACAATTTTTATTTAATCATATTTGAATGAAATTCTATTTTATTTTTTGTAGTTTTTAATGGCTTGTGAAGGTACTCGATTTACGGAAAGTAAACGTATTGAAAGTATGAAATATGCACGAGAAAAAAATCTACCAGAATTAAAATATCATATATTACCACGTACCAGAGGCTTTACTATGATTATGCACGGAGCACAAGGAAAAAGTAAATTGATTGAAAATAATAATATTTGTTTATTTAACGTTTTTTTGTTTAGTACCTGCCGTTTATAATTTTATGCTCACTTTTACAAAAGATAGTGCCAAACCAACATTTCGTACATTACTCAAGGGACATACTTGTAAAGCTCAAATGTGTATAAGGTAAGTTATATAATAAATGAGATTAACGATATATTTATATTATTGTAGACGATATCCAATCTCAGAAATTCCATATGATGATGAAAAGAAATGTGCTAATTGGCTTCAAGAAGTTTTTCAAGAAAAGGTAATTTTCTATTATCATACTAATACAAACAATTTGAAAGATAATTGCTTTGTATATGATATTTAAAAAGTTTTAGCGGATTAGCTTATATAAGAAACAGTTACTTCATGTAGTTAGAATCTAAAATTTAGAAAGATTTCACTTAGTGGCGTAGCCAAAAATTGACGGGTGGGCGGGCGAACAAGTCCGGCGCCACTAATTTCACTATTGCAAAGATAAGTATAATACTGTTAATTGCCTATGTATTCATTATGTATTTTTCTAGTATATCTAAGATATGTATATATCTTTATTCAGGATCGTATGTTTGAATATTTTGATCAACATGATACCTTCGAAGGATTTGGTATACCTCAAGTATCAATTTCTCAAAATTATAGTGATCTGTTATATTCATTATTTTGGCTTATAACTATTGGTTTTCCTTCATTAATTTGGTTTCTCCAATTTATTTTTCATAGTACATTATATGCTAAAATAGTTTTCTCAATTATTATTCTCATAGCTTATGTGATCTTACAATTGATGATAAACATGTCTGTAATTAAAGGTGATAAAAAAACAACGAAAAACAAATAGTTCTGAATAAAAACATATAACGCAATCTCGGTTTATCTTAAAGACTGTCTTTCCACATCTATATCTGTAGATAATTTTTTTTAAGTATTCAGTGTAGAACAAATTTTTTGTTTGTAGCTTTTTTTTGCTTTTTTTTTTGTTTTTATTCTTGCTAAAACTAATTAGTAGGTATAGGTTTTAACGAATAAATAAATAATAAATCAGCCTTATTAAATTTTAGATTATTTATTATTTAATCTCTGTAAAATGTTTTCACCAGACGAAGAATTTACGGATATGGGTGATGCATTAAGCCCATTTTATCTTATTATGATGTTTATATTAACACCACTTGTTGTTAGTCGACGAGTTAAACGAAGTGTCGGTCTTGTTAGACAAAAATTAGGTACCGGTGTGAAACGTACCATGTCAAAATCAATACGTGGTATATCATCAACAGCACGACGAGTAGTACGCATGAAAAATTTTGTTAAAAAACCAAGAAATTTAATAAGAAAACCCAAAGCTCCATCTAAAGTATATATTTATTTTATTAATTTCAAATTTTATAGTTTTTTCCTTTTAGGTTTCGATTTATAAAATGTTACCACTTAAATTAATTTCTCGTATAGTTGGTTGGTTAACTCGTCTTTATTTACCAATTTGGCTTCGTCCATTTGTCTTTCGTTTTTATATTAAAGTTTTTTCATGTCATGCTCATGAAATGTTTAATGAAGATCTTAAATCTTATCGAACAATATCAGAATTTTTTCGTCGAAAAATCAAAATGGAATTACGTCCTATTAATAAAGAATCTCCAATTGTGTCACCGTGTGATGGTCGAGTTTTAACCTGTGGAAAAGTTTCTCGTGGTTTAATTGAACAAGTTAAAGGTATAACTTATACAGCTTCCTCATTTCTTGGTGTTCCACTTACTGCTGGTCTTGCGAAATTACAACAACAAAACAAAGCAAAACGAAATTCTACTTGTGATTATGATGATGCACATTCATATGCAGAAAGTTTACTCAAATATCGTGGCCATGCACTTTACTATGCAGTAAGTATTGTACCAACGGAAAAAAACACAATTAAATGAATCGAATGGTTATTTTTTCAGGTTATTTATCTTGCTCCAGGAGATTATCATCGATTTCATTCACCAACTGAATGGTATGTAAGATGTTAATTGATAGAATTTTTTCTATTTTTACTTTCAGGCAAATAAGTTGGCGTCGTCATTATATTGGTCATTTATTTTCTGTTAATCCCAAAGTTGCTAGTTGGCTTCAAAATTTGTTTTGTTTAAATGAACGAGCTGCTTATTATGGTTCATGGAAATATGGATTTTTTTCTATGACAGCAGTTGGTGCAACAATTGTTGGTAGTATTAATGTTCATTTTGATCCTGTAAGTATATGAGAGAAAATTTATTTTTTATAAATTAATTCATTTTGAATTTAATTAGGATTTGAAAACAAATAATCGTGCTCGACCAAGATTAGAAAAAACATTTCAAACAACACGTAATACAAATGGAATTTTACTTAAACGTGGAGAGAATTTCGGTGATTTTAATTTCGGTTCAACAATTGTGCTTGTTTTCGAAGCACCTGATAATCTTGTATTTAATTTTAAATCAGGTGATCCAATTAGACTTGGTGAATCATTATGTTCTTTCAGTAGTGAAAAGGATATTGATAGTCAAAATATCAAACGAGACAACGAATCATCATGTCTTTCAAGTGAAGATAACGAAAGTAT